TTGCAAAATTTGAAATTATTGTGACGCATACAACATTAGCTTTTTCAATAAAACTCACAACTTTTCCTCCTTTATCCCTTCCCCCGCATTTCTCATGAATTTCTAGGAATTAATAAAATTCTTTGCCCACGAGCATAAAGAAGACTGCAAGATCAGTTTCACCTAAACCGTGAAACAATAGATAAGCAAGTACTATAGTCAGTGCTAAAGCACCTAATTATCTTTCATTGTCTTTAGTGCATCAGTTACAGTAATTAATAGAGTTCTTTGCGCACAAGCATAAAGAAGAGTGCAAGATCAACATCACCTAAACTATGGAACAACAGATAAGCAAATATCATATATAGTTAGTGCAAAAGCAGCTAATCATCTTTCATTGTCTTCAGCGCATCAATTACATGACTTCATATTCTTCTATGTAATTAGTCAAATATTTAATGTATAATATATCAAGATTGTACAATTTATGAGGATGAGAAAACAACAGAAATAGCGACAAAAACAGAACGAAGTTCTGTAATAACGACAAAGTATTACCTAATCCATATGTACTCGTTTAATCTACCTAGATATGAGTATGTATTTTTCCCCAAAAGAGTATGAAAGTAGCCTATTAGTTATAGATTAAGATCAGTTAATTAAGTTAAGGAAAATGTGTGGATGTTTCTCAATTATTAAGCAAGTGGGATACTATTCTTGAAGACAACCAGATCATCACTGAAAAAGTACAGTGATGACCCAGAATTTTGTAAGTGTTCAATCAAATCTACTAACAAACTGAGCTTAATCTCAGTAGAAACACTTATGCAACCTCTAGAATGGCGTCTTGCATATAAATTAATTTCAAGTGCAACTGAACCTTACTGTTTCAAGAATATTAGTTAGCAAATATAAGTATTGATGCAGTAACTTAAATTAGAGAAAAGAAATATTCTGCCAATAGATATGTAAAATGAAATATGTTTGGTGCTGGAAAACTGAAGGCGGTGTTTCGACATTATAAATATGTACAATAACACTTTAGAACAACATATAAAAACATAGGATTTATATTATTCTCTAGAATAAAACCAAATGTATTTTAAAATCGCGCAAAAATGGAAGATACAAAGATAACTGTTAAAACTAGATTAGATTGTCTAAATCAACTGATTAAATAAGTTCTATAATATGCTGAAACGTTAAGTAACTGCAAAAACTCTTAGGAGTAGTTTTCTTCAGGAACAGAGGATTTATAAGGTTCATTCCTCACCTCGCAATATGAGCCACCTACAACACTATCAAGCAGTTGCGTTGCAATCCTTGCTTGTTTATTCCCATATGACATTCAATAAAATCCTATGTACCCTTGGAGATCTTTCACTCGTTCGGTCCTGTCCATCACCAAAATGAGAGAATAATGACAGAATGCTCAAAAACTCAATTTTGAACCTTAGGATAAAATCACAATTTTCTTAATGAAAATACAAAATAATAATAAAAAGGGAAAAGGCCCAAAAATGACCTTGTGGTATTCGAAATGGATCAATTATAACCCACGTTTAAATTTGAATCCAAAAATGACCCTGCCGTTATAAAATGGGTCTAATAATGCCCTTGTGTTATTCAAAATGGATCAATAATGCCCTGTTTTATTTTTTTTTAAAAAATGCTTTTAAAAACTGAAAAATATATATTCTGTAAAAACTAGAAAAAGAAAGGAATTTGCAAAATATATATTTTTAAGTCTTTTCAGTTTTTTNCGTATGTTTTTATATAAATCTATAACTGTACCGATAATTATGGTAGATTTTTTATTTTATAAAAATAAATCGAAAAAATATTGAACCGTCAAATTGAAAAAAAAAAGATTTTGCAAAATATTTTTATTTTTTTAAAACTAATGCATATGTAGTCCACTGATTTAGGAGATTTTTTTTTCCAGTTTTTTAAAAAAATATTTTTTTTCCAGTTTTTACAAAACAAATACTTTAAAAAAACTGAAAAGACTTAAAAATATATATTTTGCAAGTTCCTTTCTTTTTCTAGTTTTTACAGAATATATATTTTCAGTTTTTAAAAGCATTTTTATAAAAAAAAAAATTTCAGGGCATTATTGATCCATTTTGAATAACACAAGGGCATTATTAGACCCATTTTATAACGGCAGGGTCATTTTTAGATTCAAATTTAAACGGGGATTATAAATGATCCATTTCGAATACCACAAGGTCATTTTTGAGCCTTTTTCCTAATAAAAAAACCAGAGAAAATAAGACTCCCTAATTAATCACCATTTTGCTCTAACGTAGCTTAACTCTCACCACCGAGAACCTCTCCTTATTTCTCTTAATCTTCTTGAAGTTCAACGACAACTTATTTTACCACCCAATTGACGACATTGTCGAAGCATTCATGGCCTTAGATGTCACCGCCAACTCCATTTTCGTCAACCGATAATTCAGCTCATTTAAAATTAAAAATCCTCTGGTTGAAAGATATACTTCAGAGACTTATTACAGCGGGATATCTGCTTTTGAAATAGCTCTAAAAAAAGCAAACAAAAAAGCACCTTAGTCGACTTTAAGGAGCGCATTTTATTGTTTATTCTATTTACAATACAAAGATAATCAAATGCAATACAAGGCCGCAACAAATTTATTGCAATGTAAATATGTTAGGTCCTAAATTTACCATTCTTTTCATGTAAGAATTAACTAAAGCCTATTCCTAGAAAAACTATCTGCCAATTTCAACAATTAGAACTTCAAACTTTTTTGACGTACTAAAAACTAGGGAAAAATAATGATGTTTTACCGTCCAGCTACTATTTAATACGATTGCTTATAGGAAGCTTGCTTAAATTCAAACTTAACTAATTCCTGAATCCAAGTAGCCTTCACCTTTCAATTGCTATTCTTCCAACTTCTCTAATCTAACCGAGGACTTACATACAGTCCTATCACAGAAAGATAACTCCACATGAAACTAAGTTCACTTCAATTCAATTCTTCATGGGTCCAAATATCTATCTTAACAACATTAGCGAGCACTTTTTAGTGATAAAGTTACAGTTCCTACAACATATTTAGCCTCAATGGTTTGTTGAGGCAGCTATTCCTATTCCTGTATAAATCACAACATCAAAAGTAACAAACTTTTGCAAAAGAGACTGCTAAATTCTACAGTGTTATACATCAAACAATGCAACATTAGTCAAATGTGAATCACGATACATACGCAGTCACACTCAATCTAGAATTCAAAGAAGTACAAAAATGGCCAGCCAATAATATGCGATTTTTCGCAAGTTTGCCCCATATATATTTTACAGATATATATGTAAAGATTATATAGATAGAAGTGTTAGCCCATATTGTTTCGTAGACATTCTTATGCTAAAATTTGGTTAAAATTTTCACATTTCATGGTTTCTACTTGGTCCTTCATTTACTTTGGATGTTTGTGCTCTTTGGAGCCAGTTGTCGATGCATTTGATTCAAGGTTATTTATAGCTATCTCATCCAATAAACTTCAGTTTAATAAAGATATTCTCTCCTGCAACATGTCATGACAGAATCTTAACCTTTGGTCAAAATATTTGTTAGTGTGGGCGGTCAGTTTATAGCCTTCTTCTAAAGTTGCTAAATTGCTCTACGCAAACAACTAAGGTACTAATGAAAAAAATACAAAATAGAAAGAAAAAGAAAAAAAAAGAGCCTCTTATCTTCACTGAAAGTGTAAAATACGTTCTGGATGACTTTTTTATAATTCATTCACAAGAAAAATGAGACATCAATTACATGATAAAGCATTTGCAATCTTAGAGATAAACACTCGCTTAATCCAACATAAATAATTTAATGCAAGAAACAAAAACCAAAATTGAAACAAGCAGAAAAGAGAAGGGACAAAGACATCGTTAATATTCTTTTCCAAGTATTAGCGTTTCTAATTCAACTTTTTATAACATTGAAGAATTTTGTCAAACACCTAAACAACAAAAGCCTTTGACATTCCTCAATAGAAATACAGATGAATCAAAGAGATGGTAGAAATGATACCCACTAAAAAATATGATCGATGGAAGAAAACACACTGCAAACTTAAGAACAACAGGAGATAGAGAGCAGATGTCTTGGAGATGGCGTTAGAGACACGGGGTGTTACTTCTCCCGCAATTGTTAGATTGAGATGAAAAACCCATTGCCACACGTTAAAATTAGAATCCCACGTGTTAAGTTATATAGGGGTCGTTTGGTAGGAGGCTATAGAAGAATTAATGCAAGCATTAGCTTAATGTATTACTAATATCTTATTTGGTATATTTTTTTAACCTGTGTATAATTAATACTTGTATTAATTATACATCATACTTGATATTATACTATGTATAAGTAATGCATAGAAAACCATGGCATTAGTAATACCAAGGCTATTAATGCATGCATTAGTATGGTTAAAGATAAAATTATCCTTAAAGTCCCTTAAAGCTTGAGAATATGAAGGGGGACATTTTTGTAAATAATTATTTTTCTTAATAATTTTAATACTCCACACCAAACAGTAAATAAAAAATAATATCTACATAACTAATGCTTGCATTACTAACTCATGCATTACTAATTCATGCATTATTAATACATCTTATTTCGCACTATTCTTATACACCCTACTATAGATGAATCAAAGAGATATAGAAATGATACCCACTAAAAAAACATGATGGACGGAAGAAAACACATTGCAAACTTAAGAACTACAGGAGAGAGCACATGTCTTGGAGATGGCGTTAGAGACACAAGGCGTTACTTCTCCCGCAATTGTTAGATTGAGATGAAAAACCCATTGCCACACGTTAAAATTAGAATCCCACGTGTTAAGTTATATAGAGAGGTAGGGATAGACTGAATATCTTTGAAATGACAGAAATACCCTCAGATTAGTTTTTAATTCCAGGAAGCACACATGTTCTGAGGTGCCTGCTATTCCCTATTATTAGCAAGTCGTAAAGTAATTTTGCAGATAGAAATATATAAACCCTGAACCCTAAACTTTGTTCTCTCTCCTCTCCTTCTACAGAGCTGCTCTATAGCAAACTCCACCATCCATCAATGGCGGAGGTGAAAATCTCAGAGATGCGTGACCTAACCCGAATAGAACGCATAGGTGCACACTCCCACATCCGAGGTCTCGGTCTCGACTCATCACTCGAACCCCGCCTCAGTTCCGAAGGCATGGTAGGCCAAACCTCCGCTCGTAAAGCCGCCGGCGTAATAGTCAAAATGGTTCAAGAAGGTAAAATCGCGGGTCGGGCTGTCCTCCTCGCGGGTCAACCCGGTACGGGCAAAACAGCTATTGCAATGGGCATGGCGAAATCATTAGGGCAAGAAACCCCTTTCGCTATGCTAGCAGGAAGCGAACTTTACTCCCTCGAGATGTCGAAAACGGAAGCACTTATGCAGGCATTTCGTAAAGCAATTGGCGTGCGGATAAAAGAAGAGGCTGAAGTTATTGAAGGAGAAGTTGTGGAGGTGCAGATTGATAGGCCAGCTGTGGCTGGGGCGGCGTCAAAGACGGGGAAGTTGACTTTGAAGACTACGGATATGGAGACAGTTTATGACTTGGGAGGGAAAATGATTGAGGCTTTAGGGAAGGAGAAAGTTCAGAGTGGGGATGTTATTGCTATTGATAAGGCTTCTGGGAAGATTACTAAATTAGGGAGGTCGTTTTCGAGGTCCAGGGATTATGATGCTATGGGACCCCAGACTAAGTTTGTACAATGTCCTGAAGGAGAGCTCCAGAAGAGGAAGGAGATTGTACATTGCGTTACCCTCCACGAAATTGACGTCATAAATAGCAGGTAACTTTTGTAAATTTTGCAGTACTAATTTTTCCATAAAGAAAAGATTTTGATTTGTCTGTGGTTAGGCAAGTTTTATATACTTATTTATATGTATTTGTATAATATTGGCATAAGATGAGTTAAACTAAGTAACTTGGTCAGTGAGGATTCATATAGCCGAGGTGTAGTTGTTGTTATTTGTATGGCTTCTTAATTGCTTGCAACAAGTCTGGTTTCAGGAGCTGTTATTACACTGTATTTGCTACATTATATAGTTGGTGTTGGATTTTTGTTGGACATTGTCCTAGTTTCATTCTTATGAATGCATTTTCTTAGTGTTTCTGAAAGCTGGAAGTTGATAGCAGTGTTTTAAAAGGCGTGGGCGTAAGGCGAGGCTTTTTACATATGTCTCAGCGGGGCGTAAGCCCCGAGGCGGGGGGCGTAAGCCCCGTAGGTATTTAGTTTTTAATATTTTATAAAATAATATAATGACAGTAAATATTTATAAATAGGTAAAATTGCATAAAAATTGAAGAAAACTATATATATGTGTGCTACATCCCCACAAAAAACTAATCAAAACAATCTATTATACGTTACTTACAAGCACAAGTAATTTAAGTCAAAGAATAAAGTTTTTTATATGGAGGAACAAAAAGAATGATTAACCTGCAATTTGAACTTTGAATTTGCTCCTATGAAGAAGGAGGTAGGAGGTAGTTCTCTTTGTATTTGTAAAAAAAATTAAATATTCGTTGCTTTTGGGAGATATTAGCAGACTAGCGGACAAGATAAAAAATTGGGAAAACCATGAATTAAGGCTTAAATCAATAAAAAAAGGTTTTTACTTTTAAATTTAATACTTTTGAGTTCCTTTTTAAACCTTTTGAGTAATTACCAAACTGACTTTTGAGAATTTGGGTATTATATGAAGGATTAATTCAACAAATTTTGTTTTAATTTGAAAAAGTCTCTAGGGCTTACTCCTTACTAAAAAAACGTGCCCCAATCTCCCAGGCGTACGCCCCGAACGCCCGGGCGTACGCCCCAAATTGCGGGGCGTACGCCTCTTGAGACTTTCGCCCCACGCCATCGCCCCGGGGCGTTTTCGGTACGCTTCGCCCCGGGACTCGCCCCAGAAACGCCTTTTAAAACAGAGGTTGATAGAAGATATAATCTGTGAAGTATGTTTTCTAGGTTTGCCTGAGGTCAAACAAAATTAACCTTTTTTCTCTTTCTTTAGTCTTATTGATACATGATCCTGTTGTTTCCCGTCCAAGTTGGCACCAAGTTGAGTCCTAGTTTGAGCAAGACCAGGAATGTTTGTTGAGCCTTGAAGTGGCTCAAAGAGAGCTATTTTTGTTCGATTGTACAGCTATATAAATAGTTGATTATAATTCAGGCAAAAGTTTAAAAACTTTGCAGTCTTCTTCAAATTATTCAACTGATATTATAAAATTTAAATCTTGATTCTCCGGGTAGATAACCAGATTCCTTTTAATAGAGGAGCATAATGCAAAGATACAGTCTACAAGCGAAAAGGTGATTTTTCAATTTGCAATGCGATTCCAGCCATTAGTTAAAGGTTTTATCAGCTTAATTTTGCTGCGGGTGGTGGATAGCATGAAATTATTCTTCGATTTTATTACTACTGTTGTTGTTTTACTCTGGTTAGCTTTACTATTTTTTGATGTCAGTACCTTTCTGTTCTACTGTTTTTTAATCACAACTTTTACTCTTGTACTTTTCAAACCTGTTTTGAAAACGCTTTTCATGAGCCGAGGATCTACTGGTAACAACCTCTCTACACCACAAAGGTAGGGGTAAGGTCTGCGTACACCCCATCTTCCCGAGAGCCCACTTGTGGGATCACACTGGGTATGTTCTTGTTGTTGTTTTAGCTTGAGAGATGAAAACTTGCTTAAGTTCTTGTTTCCTTTTATTTTCCTCTTTATTTTTGGTAAATAAAGTCTCACAGTAGGAGGATAATATCAGAATATATCTGTAATTGTCCTTTAACTTTTCAGTGGGACATCCCAAACATGGAACAAGCTACCATGTTCCATGTTTGTAGGTGGAAAATACTCCATCATGAAAGCTTGAAAGGCCAGCTGGATTTCAGTTTCTGCTAGTGAAAAATTCTTAAGAGAACCCGCTGAAAATTTCTTCTACAGTTATCCGTTGATTAATTGATTACAGCTTGCAGGACTTGAAACCTTACAGGTGGAAGTTGGAAAAAGTTAGTAGAAGGCTGAAACAATATCTAGTTTAAAAATAAACTGGTCAAGTTCAGTATTGGCGACTATTTGATTTTAACCTTTCTGAGGTCATCATATTGCCTAAGTTAAGGGTGTTATGTATGACATTAGCTTCGGTGTTGAGCATTTTTCTGAAAGATTATGGGCTTCTATAGCATTTTCGTAGGGAGAACAATTTTGTTTGAAATTGAGTCTTTACGGATTGTACTTTATATCTGAAAGGGTCTCCTATTCCATTTCAGCTGCTGTAGTTTGACTTTAAGCTAATATTAGCCTTGCCACTTCCATGAAGGAAGCCATGACGATTGATGTTCCAGCAAGGCTTTTGTTTGGCCTTGTTATTTTTTGTCTTTTGTTTCTTTTGGGGTGGGGGGTGGGGTGGGTATGGGAGTCGAGATGTGACGGGAGGCCTTTTCGTTGCTGTACTACCTTCTTATTTGTATATATCTGGAAATAGATAAATAGTGTTCTGTCGAAAGGTTTTAGAAGTCAAACTCAATGCTACAGCCTTAATAGTATTGTCCTATCCATCTCCTTTACGTAAATATTGCCTTTTGCTAAGTTAGCTACTTAGATTATCATAAAATACTCTGCTAGTAATGCATGGGGCTATAGTGGGTATTCATTGATAGCTTTTCCTGGTAACCATTCAACAGGAATGGTTTCAAAAACAATATTTATGTTTGTAGTAAAATTTTGCCAAAAGACTGAATGTGGGTGTTGTTTGACTAGGAATTGATATGGCTATCTTTTCCTTGCTAATCCATTCACTCTTGGTGCACTGTCTTGACCTCATAGGCGATGGACTAAATTTCATTTGAAGAACAAACTGATCTTTTTGTATGCTAAAATCATAGACTACTATTAAAAAATCATGATGTTTGTCAATAGACTTGGATTCGTATCTTCCCCCTTCATGTGCCTTTTCTCTGCATTAATTCTAATTGGTGATGCTACTTGCCATCCTCAGTTGCATGCCTTTCCTATTGAGTGTATTTGCAAAACTCATCAGTTTTACTTTCTGAGTTTAGAGTTGCCTCTGAAAACATTTGAAATATTAGAAGAATCTTCTTGTTTCCTACTTTACCAGATTAAAACAAGTTAATCAGCTCATCTCAATTGCAGAACACAGGGATTTTTAGCACTATTTACGGGTGATACTGGTGAGATTCGTGCTGAAGTGAGAGAACAAATAGATACCAAGGTTGCAGAGTGGAGGGAGGAAGGGAAGGCGGAGATTGTGCCTGGTGTCCTCTTCATTGACGAAGTCCATATGCTTGACATTGAGTGTTTCTCTTTCCTAAACCGAGCTCTGGAAAATGACATGGCACCTATATTGGTTGTTGCTACCAATAGAGGCATTACTACAATTCGGGGAACAAACTACAAATCCCCACATGGGATTCCAATTGACTTTCTTGATCGCCTGCTCATCATCTCTACACAGCCTTACAAGGAGGAAGAAATTCGTAAAATTCTGGACATCAGATGCCAAGAGGAGGATGTAGAAATGTCTGAAGATGCAAAAATTTTGTTGACCAAGATCGGGGTGAATACATCTTTGAGATATGCCATCCACCTTATTACTTCTGCAGCTCTGGCTTGCCAGAAGCGGAAAGGGAAGATTGTGGAAGTGGACGATGTTACTCGAGTCTATAATCTGTTTTATGATGTCAAGAGATCCACACAGTACTTGATGGAGTACCAGAGCCAGTACATGTTTAATGAAGTGCCAACAGGAGATGCAGAGGAAGATGATACTACTGCCATGGTCTCCTGAAAGCTTCTTGACTCGGGATTCTAGAGATTGAGATCATTCCTAAATTCAGAGTTAGCTCTGATTTTTGTACAAAACTCATCTAGTTTGCAGGTTTAACAATTATGTCTTACATATTTCTTTCAAGAACCTAGTTTGATTTTCTCATTGCTCCTCTGTGCTGTTTGATTATGATAGTGCTACTTTGTTATGAAATACTTGCCTGTATGGACCATCGTGATTGGTCAGATCTGCAGATGGCACCCCTACTAGCTTCTTTGAGTATCAATTGAAAGGGTTCTGTGAATTACTAGCGTAATTATTCTTTAGTTGTATATCAATTTTAAGCATCTGTTTCACTTCCTTCCAGGATGCTGCCAGTACCGTAAAATGTTCATGAAAAGTGATAGCTCCCGTAGAGATGCAACCCCGTTAGATTTCAGTTTTCTTTTGTTTCTATTTTCATATGGTGGCAGTTTATTTTCCTTCGTTTGGGGGTGATTGTGTTAAGTTCAATTTTCTAGTGATGAACGCTAGAAGGCGGTCTTAATTGAGGTATGATTGACAAAGTTGAAGGAGCAAAGCAAAATGTTATGAGTTATCGAAAGTAAACACAATGGACTAAGTACTTATTAGGCTCGAAAAAAAGAAATTAGTATTTATTTAGAGTATTTTTTTCTCCAACTCCAAAAAAAGTGATTTGTTCTCTTTTTGAAAACGTTGAAATGTCAAATTAAACCTTTTCACANCTAGGAAACAAGCTTGGTGATTGAAATTCTCCTTTGTGGTCGTAAATGACAAAGATGCGGACTAAATAACGGCAACCACAAATAAGGTCTAGCTAGTCCAAAGTTAGTTCGGTGTTATGTTTTTGGTCATGAAAAGGGAATTATATTAAGTTGATTCTATAATACAGGGAGCTTGGTGCTCACTAGGCACCCTCCAGGGGTTCATTACAACAAAAGGTGGCAGCAGAATTTGCTGAAAGAGAAAGCTGGTATTGCCCGTGGAGGATGTACAGAGGTGGTAGTAGGTGCGTGTGCAAAAACACATGCATTAACTAGTCTACGTACAACCAGTCCCATGTAGTCAACTTGCGATATCTTAGAGATAAAAGTAGGGGGTGCGTCAAAAACTTGTAAGCTGCTGCCAGTAGGCATGGTAGTTCCATGCTTCGCTAAGCTATCAGCAACACAATTTTGCTCCCTGTATGTGTGCACCCAGCTGCTTGAGCAGTGACTTGCTCAATGAGATTACTATATAATGGATTGTGTTGCAAGTAATGTTAGTAACTCTTTGGCGTCAATTTCAGTCAGTAAAGGTGTGGGTTGATATTGTATAAGCTAATTTTAAACCTGTAAGCAACGCACAAAGTTCTATTTGTATACTATTGGCCATTGCTATTTTAGTTGCAAAACCCAGTACCCACTGACTACTGACCTGCCTTACCCCTGAAAACGCCTCCCATCCCATTGCATTTCCATCTTGGGAGGCAGCTCCATCAGTATTCAATTTATAATGAGTTTCTTCTGGTTCTGGTGGGTGCCACTTAACATATACAGGAATATTTTGCCATTTGGTTGATGCGGCATTTGTAAGATAATAAAATTTCGTAGCTCTAGTGATGATAGTATTCAGGTCCACTGGCAGGCACTTATGTTCGAAGATGTTGTTATTGTTGGAAATAAATCTCCCAAAATAATATTCACCGTAATAAAAGCGGAATAATAACGTAGCACCGAGATACGGTAATTAATAAGAATAAAAAAGTGATAACGACACCCTTTTGAATAAGGAAAAAAATCACGGCCCCGAGACGAACAACTGATATCACTATAGCAAGGAATTTTACGCTTTGTAGGTCAGAGTAAAATACTCCAAAGACCACTACAACACTCAAAAGAAATAACCCTCTTTTGATATTCCCACCTCACTACAATATCGTGCACTCTCTATTTTTCTCACAACCTATTTTTTTATACCCTATCTGTGATGCCTCACTCTTTCTTTCTCACTTTGTTTGTGTGGTGAAATAAAGAAGCCGAAACTCTCCTTTTATAGGAGAAATAGCCTACCTCTTCAACCAATCAAAATGAAATTGGTTAAAAATTTGCAATGCAATTTTTTCTTCTTTCACCTAATAATTTGACAATGCAAAAGAAAAGATAGCTGCCAATCAAAGGAAAGGAATCTTAATTTATGGGATAGACCCCCACAAATCTCTAGTAATACATAGCTGCCATAGAGAGAAAGGAATAGAAGTTCTTATGGGAATGTTATTTGGAAGTAGTCAAAAATTTAGCGGACAACCATGGTAGGTTGTCAAGATGTTGAGAAGCAAAGTTGTTGATGAGGTTGGTAAGCTGCAGTTAGGCCTAGAACTGTTGCGCATTTGGAGGTTGGTCATGAGAGCACAGCCAAATAAACTGAGCTATTTTTGGGGGAATACACAATATTTGACTTCTAGGATAAGGAGTGAGGGAGTCGTAACTGGACTTAACTGAAAATTAACCATTATTTGTGAGTGTCCAGATGAGTCTGTCATAGTTAGTGGACAATTATGGCAGATATATGCCATGAATGTGTTGTGTGATATGATCGGGCAGACAGAAGGACAAAACTATGAAGCTGCCAGGAGGCATTTGCGCAAAAAAAAAGAAAACAAAAGGAGATAGTCTGCTGCTCTTCATGCTCTAATAATGGCCTGTGGATGCCAGAAGTTTAAATGGAAACTATTTGCAATTCTCCATTTATACCCCAAGTGACAATAGGACCAACCTTTAACAACATTTTTCTAATAAAAAGAGGCTGAAGGGGACTGGGGTTTTATACAAAAATATTTTGAGAGTAGGATATTTGCCCAGAGAGTTTTGGGGTTTGTGGAAGTCTCCCAGCAAGACTAGCCAATAAAGCTTGATTTTTGGTATGGAGCTTTTGGATACCTAGCCACCTTGGCCCCTTGGCAATTAACAGTGGCCCAGTTGAGTAGATGGATTTTTTTCTCTTAGAGGTGGTAGAGCACCAAAGATTTATTTTTTATTTTTTTTGATAGCGAATTCATTTGAGAAATACACATTTAGGAACAATGGTGTATGATCGAATTTTTTTATAAACGGTGTCACGATTTTAAACAGTAATCAAATAATAATTCACTGTGACAAAATATTAAATAATATAATTTGAATTATTTTTGTATAACATAACTCAAGTATATTACAAGATATGAATTTTAATTTTTTGAACTTTATTCAACATAACCTCATTACAAATAATACTAAATACTTTTTTATATATAGAACACCAAGTAATCGTACAAAAATTTATTATTTACTCAATTCTGTAAATTATTCTTAATCAATTTCAATGCTGAAGAATAAGATAAAGGGAAAAAAACCGAACAACTTATAATAAAGTCAAATAATTTATTGTTCCATAAAATATGCAAATATGACTATTGATCCATTGATTTAGTATGATATTAATGCTTAAGAGGTCAATGGTTCAAACCTCAACATATTTTTTATTTCTAGATGAGGCACAAAATATTTAAAACAAAAATTAAGCCATAATTCGAACTTGTGACATTTCATAAAAATTAAAGCGACAGTCCAGTTGAGCTACAGAACTGCACTTGTCAAGTGGTGTCACTTTAATAAACTTATTCTAATTTTTTCTGTTGGATTTTAATTATATATACTTATTTAGTAAAATTTTTCGATCAATCCGCCCCTGTTTAAGAATACTGATGTATTGCATGACAAGATTCTGCCCGTACATATGATCAACCAATTAATCCTTAGAAAGTTCAAATGGATTGGAGTTGCGCTATGCACTGCCAGTGAGAAATGTCTAAAGCAGCACATCCAGGGTAGGAAGCACAAATTGAAGGAACAAGAAGAAAGGAAATATGAAATGACGGCAAAAAAAAGCTAAATTTGCTTCAAAGTTAGAAAAATTATTTATTTAAGAGTTTGAACCAGTTAAAATCTATGAAGGAATTTTAAGCTTGTGTAGCTTAAAGAAGGTGAATGAGAAATGGAGGGAAAATAAAATATTTGAGTTTCCCTTGGGAAAGGGACATTGTCCCATATCGGAGAAAGAAAATGCTTTTGATGGGTATATATATAATTGCTCTTCTTCTAACTCTTAAAGAGTTAAGAAAAAGGCAAGCCTCGCGCCGTCGTCGTCGTCGCTCCCTCGGCTCGGCTTCGGCTTCGGTCAACGATTGATTGATTAATCTTTTTGGACAAAATTCCTTTTAATTATTTAATAAATTAACTAAATAATTAACGAAAAATTCAATTCGGAATAACCCATGACCCGCAACCCGGTTTAGTCATGCCCATTTTCTTTCCCGGATTATTTTCCAACAGCCATGGCTGTTTCTTAAAGGTTGCAAACCTTTTCAGAAATATTGCCAGCAACTCTATAAATAGAATTTGAATCCCAGAATCTTTCCTTACGAAATTTTCTGAGCTTCTTCTTCTTCTTCTTCTTCTGCACAATATTTTCCAGTGTGTTTTACGACCATTGAGTGGTTCGCAGTTCATTAGAGTTTTTGGTACAAATACACTGGTGAGTTAAATCATTCTATCCTGGGAGGATATATTTCGGCACCTCGGGTACTTGAGGGGAATAATTTTCTTAAGGACACACTGTGTATTCAGTGGGCTCGATTTATTCCTATACTGTTTTTTTTGTTTTCCAGAATCTATTTCGTTAAACAAGTATTACTAATTTTCTGTTTTGTTTTTTCAGAAAGTTTAATTGTTTATTACAGCAATACAGAATAATAACAATCTTAAGAATTTTTTTTTTTATATTCTGTATTTTGTTTGTGGAGATTAAAACCTGTGTGATTTTCTACTCTTTCTGAATTTTACTATTCTGATTTGAAGATATAAAAACTTCATCAGAGTATTGAAATTCGTAAAACGATTTGAAGAACATAAAAACTTCATCGTTTTTCTGTAAAACAGTGTATAAAAACTTCGGTTTTATTTATTATACATACTATTTTTTTTGTTAATAACAGTATTGTGTACTGTTCTGATTTTGCCATTAATTGAACTCTTCTGTTGTTTACAGTGAGAAATGGCAATTGATAACGAAAATTCTTCTGCGACTATTGTGGCAACGACGATAGCCTCGTCAAGCCGGACTGTTGTTCCACCGGCAGAGAAATCGGAGAAATTTTTCGGAGCCAACTTCAAAGGATGGCAGCAAAGGGTGTTATTTTGGCTTACCACACTTGGTATGCAGAAATTCACTAGTGAAGAACTTTCAGTGCCTGCTGCGGACATGCCG